AAAAAAATAATAAAATAATAATAATAAAATAAAATAATATAACAAATATTAAGCAAAACAAGTCAGCGAATAAAATTCTGTGTATATAGTGGATGTGTGCAGCTAGATGGATGGGAGTCGTACTGAATAGGCTATTTGAAAGAGATGAGTTTTGAGGCGGGGTTTGAAAGTGGAGAGAGAGTTGATGCTTCAAATGTCCACTGGGAGGGAGTTTCAGAGGCGGGGGGCAGAGCGGCTGGAGGCTCCAGACGTCACGGTGGTCAGGTGGGCTGTCGGGACAGTAAGGTGGACGGAGGAGGAAGACCTGAGAGTGTGGATGTGCAAGAGTTTGGTACATGACAATGAACTAAGGTTTAAAGGTATACTATGCAGGTACTGTCAGTTACTGTATGTGAACTGTATATCCAGTTAAAATGACAGCTAACCCCAGATTCACTCTCGTTCACTGTATTTGTTTTTTCAGCGCTGTGTTCGCAATTTTCATAGCTTCCTCTTTTTTAAAGATATTTTTGGGGCATTTTTAGCTTTTAATTGATAGGACAGACAAGTGTGAAAGGGGGAGAGAGGGAGGGAGTGACATGCATCAAAGGGCCACAGGCTGGAGTCAAACCCGGGCCACTGCTGCAACAGCCTTGTACATGGGGCGCCTGCTCTACCACTAAGCCACCGACGCCCTGTAGCTTCCTCTTAAATGCGTGACGCTTATGGTCTGGCACCTGGTTGTTACCTTTCTGTAAAGTCCCAATCTCACCTGAGCGCTGGATTGTCTTGGAACATAGCAAAATAAGAGGAGAATAAGAAAATACAGGTGAAGGGCAGAGTCTGTGCAGATAAATTCACTGCCACAAACTTCTACTGTGCCATAAGTGATGATCGAGAGGGATTTCTCTGTATGAGTCTAAACATTGTTTTAAAAGACAATCCTGCATGGTGTACCTTTAACTGCAGCTCAGGCTACTTCTGTCCAATGCCACATCAGCTAAAAGAGTTTTTCCATTGTCCTCAGGCCTGTATGAAAAGCTTTTTGCTAATCAAAGTTAGACAAAAAGCAATCTTTATTTTTCCACGGGCCCCATTGCTTCAAAACATTCCAAATCTAATTTTACTCATTAGTAAGCCTCTGGAGTGCTTCTGTCTCATCCTGCAGACACAACCTCTGAGACTTGCATGTGTGCATGTGTGAGACAGCGTCTTTAATTACCCAGGTAACACAGCCAGATGCTCCATCACTCTGGCAATGGCAGTGATTAAAAGCAGTAAAATATTCATTTCAATCAGACACCCACATGCCACATGTATAATTAATGCACAGCGGAAGGACACAGCAACTTTTACCACAACCACACACACATTTCCATCACCATATTCCCTCTACACGCCGCAGCCAGCTGCTGCATGTGTGTAGATGTGTGTGTGTGTCGGGGTGGATCCAAGAAATGGAACTGTGGATGAGCCACTTCGAGCAACACTCCACAGGGAGGTCAGAGGGCAGCCAGACTGCATTCTGGGACATCATTCAGCCACCTACACAGCAGATGTGTTGGGTTGCTCTCGCACTGCCCTGACTCTCTCTGGGATTGTTTTTGTTGGGGGAAACACGGCTAGTTTGCCGTCTAGCATGCATTCAGCTTTCTCTGTTGTGGGTGTGCTACCTTTTCTTCTCCTTCTTCTACTTTTCAACGCTGCTCTGCTTGTCAATATCTTGAAATACCTGCGAGCGGTTTTGTCAGAGGTCTCAGAAGCAGTCTGATGTCTCTAGTGGGCGGAAAAATATACAAACACAAAACAATCTGAGACTTGAGGTGCATTTACAGACATAAAGTAGACACCTGATTCCTAGCTCACTTCGTGGAACAGATCTCATGCGCCCAAGGCTATGCATGCGAACACAGAGAACCCACATGGAATGGAAGGACTTTCCCATCCAGTATTTTTATTAAAATATGTTAAAAATCAAATGTTTGATTTAAATGTAAATAACACCAAGAAGATGCTCTTTTTCACACACCTGAAATAAATCTTTTTCTGTCAACCCCCATGGTTCCACTTTGTCTACTTTCTATTTCTGTCCTTTCAATCCCTCTGACTGCTGTCTCTTTGTTTTCCTTGATTAAGCCCTCTGTTGCAGTATTGTTTAGACTCCAGCAGTAGGCTACAATTACTCAGCGCAGTGTGTGTGTATTGTATCACGCTCATTACAATTACCTCTGGGTGTGAGTGTGTCATCTGTTGCCTGCTCATGTTCCAATTTCTCTCTGAGTGGTGAGGGAGCTGCATCCAGATGCTTCAGCGTGCATACACAACAATGTGACCAGGAAGTGGGAAGTCTCCATTAAAATGAATGAAAACTGTGGATCCAAATATCCTTAAAAAACAGATTGAATCTGTGTGACCAGGAAGAGCAACACATTAAGTCATCTCAGCTTTAGTTTCCGCTTGTCTCCTGCAGCAGGAAGCACGGAGGTCCGTGCTCAAAAGGAAACTTTACACAGAGATATCACAAGATTGATCTCGTATTCAAGATGCAAGAACTTGTAACAGTTGGCAGGCATTACAAAAGCACTGCAGTGAAGCTGACTGATGGGAATCCTGGTAGCTTTCATTTGATTACGACTGGCTTGGTGTAATCTCATCTACAAGATTTCCAAACTGTACTTCTGTGTGATCAGCTGTGAGAGGCCAGCAAGGAGTTTCCCCAGGAGCCTGGCATCAATAAGTAACTGCTACTACTGTTTCAACCACACACACGCACACGTATGAACACTTCACAGGACTCAGTCTACATCTCCTCTTATCTTTTCCTCACTGTGTGACTGGTTGGTGTGAGAAAGGGAGAGCTTTGATTCCTTTTACTCTTACACACATTCGAACCAGGGGCGCAGCGTCAGGAGAGTCAAACTCGGCAAATGTTTGGGGTCCTTCCCTAAAAATTTGGCACAAAGGGGCCCCTAATGTCCACTCATATTGGAACATTTTGCAGTGACAGTTCAGGCAGGACACGGTGTCAAGCTCAGCTCACATCACAGCTACATCGGCTGATCTCCAACAGCCCAATCAACTGATGGAGCAGCTGATTAAAGAAAGGGAGTCAGCTGATAGATCACATGATTCCTTTCTATGCAACCAATTGGCAAATCTCATTCATGGCGCCCTGTTTAAACTGCTCTGGCCCGCCTACTGTTGCTGCTTCCTCTGCAAGCTGCTTTGCAACCTGCCTCCACCCCAGCTCCTCCTTTTAATGCTGTGTCTGACTTATTAATGTCATTTCTGTTTGTCACTGATACTGCTCTGTTCTGTTCCCGGGGGGTCTTTGCTGCTGCTCTCCCTGCCTCAGGCTTTCCATGTAGGCGCATGGAAGGGCAGGGAGGTTTGCTCTCTCTGCTTCAGGCTTTCTGTGTAGGCCTGAGGAAAGGCAGAGAGGCCCCAGAACAGAGCCATAACACCAAATAATATACTGCAAATGGAAATAAAGGTTTATTTGACTTAAGTGGTTCTCACTGAATTATCGATTAATAGATTCAATTCGATTCTGAATATCTGAAACGGTTTCAATTGTCATTTTCTCTCTCTCTGCTCTCTCTCATATTTAATGTTAACTAGTTACTCTGCTGTTCTCCGCTAATAACCAAGAAGGGAAAAGTTGTCATTGTTGAGATATAGCCTTGTTATATTTCTTCATTCAATTATTATCCATAGCCGCTTATCCCATTCAGGGTCACGGGGGGTTTGGAGCTTACCCAGGTGACACTGGGTGAAAGGCAGGGTTCACCCTGGACAGGTCACCAGACTATCACAGGGCTGACACATAGATACAGACAACCATTCACACTCACATTCACACCTACAATTTAAAGTCACCAATTAACCTAACCTGCCAACCTACTGTCTGTAGACTGTGGGAGGAAGCTGCAGGGCACAGAGAAAACCAACGCTGAGAACACGCAAGGTCAAGGTCGAGGTCAAATTTATTTATATAGCATATTTAAAAGCAACCAGACCAAAGTTCTTCACAAGCATAAAAGAATCTAACAAAATACAGAAACAAACAAACAAACAAAAACAATATGTGGAGTCAAGATGTCACCTCAAAGCTCTGACAGGTGTGTGGATGTGTAAAAGCTCACGTAAATAAGGAGGTGCCGTGCCATTTAACACCTTAAAAACAAGCAATAAAATCTTAAAATCAAACTCCAAACTCCGTACAGAAGAACCCCAGCTAGAGTGCAGGTTTGAACCCATCCACTCTTGCTGCAAGGCAACAGTGCTGCATCATTGAGCACGTTTACATGCGCACAATAATCAGATAACTGGGAATAATCAGGTAATGGTAATAATCCAATTTGATGCGTTTACATGCACTTCAATAATGTGATAATCAGAAAAACCTGGTTTACATGATTCAGTCCTTCAGTTGGATTTCTCCCCAAGTACATGACATAAAAGTCAAACTTCCTGTTACAGTAGGTACTCATATCCCTGAAAAACCTTGAAAAGTACGCAAGTCATATATTTGCAAAAAAAAGCAAAAATCATGAAGACAGTTTATATTCTTACAGTACTGTTTGTTTTTATCATTAACAAATACATGTGAGAGCATTCTAATGTGTAGTTTATCAACGTGGAGCCAATTTTACATACTTTGGGTAGATTCGGAGTAAAAGTACTGCAAAGTGCAATATACAAGTGTGTTGTATATAAACTTGTCACACAAAGTGCATAACATATAAGTAAGATAAAATAAAAGTGATAATTTAAACACTGAGAATATAAAAATATATTATTTTACGTAAAATCTTTATCTGAAAGGAAACAAAAGCTGTCAGATTAATGTAGTGGAGTAGAAAGTACAATATTTCCCTCTAAAATGTAGTGGAGTGGGAGTATAAAATAGCAAAACCCAAAAGAAACCAGATTAAAGGGTATACATGCACCGAATAATCTGACTATTGGGGAAAAAGCTAGATGAGTTAACTGATTTCTCATAATCAGATAATGGCTTTTATCTGATAAAGCCTATCGGATTATGCTGTTCACATGACCACTTGAATAATCAGGTAACTCCAGAAATCAGATAATGATCGGTTTATTAGTGTGCATGTAAACGCGCTCACTGTGCCAACCCTATTTCATAATAGTAGTTTGACTTGTATGCCCTCGGTGTCAATTTTGACATTGGTTTTGGTATTGAATATTGATATAGTGCAAAGAATTATTGCCGTTTTCACCCAGTATCATGACAACACTAGTAAATATTACATTGTGTTTCCATAATCCTCATTTCTACTGTATATAAATAAATGTCTATCTTTGATTTACTTGGATTTCAGGGGATCTTGCAGTGGAGAGAAAAAAAGCCAAAATAACATTTATTTTCTTCTATTTATTTTTTTGCTTGCCACTTGTAAACAGAGCACGTTCCTGCTGAGTTATTGATATGCAAAAGCCAATATTCCCTCGGCTTTTCAATGCACTTTTTTGTGCAAACCCTATCACGGCCACTTATTCTAATAGACTCTAATATAGACCTACCCTGCTTGCAGTAAAACAAAGCTTCCACAGCACATGTAAGGAGTGTGGTCTGGTGTACTGTATTGTATAAAGATCCTGAACCTAAAATGCATGACACAAATAAAATAATCTATCCCGTATGAAAACACAGTAGTACTTTTTTGATTTCACAGTTTAACCAAGTGTGCTACTTTGTTTCAGCACACACACAGAAAAGATTACCGAGATATGAACCATAACTGCCCTCCTCTCTACATTGTGCGACTGCTCCCGCAGGCTGTTGTTGTAAATAACAATGTTTTCTCAGTCAACTTGCCTTGTTAAATAAGATTTTACAAAATCCCATGAAAGATTTCTCAAAGCTTGACGGTGGATATTGGCATTCCAGCGTAGAAGGCTGTGTTTTAAAACCTGCAAACAACCCGGCATAAATTTACACCATTAAGTCCCTCGGGGTGGAGAATGCATAAAGTGCTGTGTGTGTGGCATGAGAATGCAGTAGTCATAATTAGAATGTAGATGTCCTCGGCCTGCCATGGACGAAGCCGCCGACATGCACACGCAAAGTGCTTACTCTCGTCTGTTGCCGTGTGTCGATGAATAATGCACATATTAATCCGGCGATGTATAGAAGCTTTGCTAAGATTCGTTCAGCACTTCCCTGTTCGAGGTTGTCTAATTAATGTGGCATCTTTGTAGCCACTAGGCATGAATAACATTCTCTGAAGCTCAGTCAGCAGGGTGTTGCAGTAGAGGGAAAGGTTAGGAGGGGCCTTGATTTTTTTTTCTTTTTCTATTATTTTTTTTGCTGACTTTTTCCACCAATTTTCTCCAAAGCCACTTGTTTTCACAGCACCACCCCCGGCTCCACCCTCTATTGTGCTGGCAACCACAAGAAGTGTGTAATGAAAGGAAAAGAGGACTGATCCTCGGTCTCTGTGCTGGTAGGTTTAAACTTAACTCCTCTGCCACCTGTGCACCCAGGGCCTCTGAAATTTAATAGACAATAAGCAGCAATAAATAGTTTGATAAGTATGCCAGCTGACCTATATATCAATCATTCACTCATCTAAAAAGCCAGTCTATGAAAAACTTTGTGAAGATTTAACGCCCCTGTCAGCTGGTGTTCTGCACCACAGGCTGGGATCCTTCCCCCTCAGCAGGAGCAGGGACAGACGCTATACCTAACTCTGAAGCCACAAATGGGACTGGGCCTTTAATTTCTTGATCCACCTTTGGGGAAGGAGGAGGGGCGGTTTCAGCGAGCAGAGCTGCAGGCAGTCCAGTGGAAAGTGAGGCCGGGCTGTGGGGCAGGTGGGGCTTGTGTACCCCTTCTGGCCCTCCTCTCCCCTGGTGCTTAGCGTTTTCCAGCAACACACGGACACTCTTGGAGAAGACTGCACGAGGGTCAGTGGGTGATAGAGCAGGGCAGACACAGCTCTCCCTCAGCTCCAGAGCCTGGACAGAGACAGAGTGAGGAACAGACATTAAGCTACACTCACAGCTAAATATATAGTGACTTATCGTAACTTCAGACAAGAAGTGTGTTGATAATAAGTACAAAGATGGATTGATAAGCCCGATGAGAAATGCCTTTGTTTGTGTCGTGGTGAGTCATTTGTTGTTTTTGTTTGCAGTGTAGCAGAACAAGAAAGTTACTCGTTCTTTTTAATTTGTGATAGGTAGATAGGATATTTCATCAAAACGCTGCTGTGATCTGAAATGAATGCGACACGAAGAAGACGAGGAGAATGTGAAGGCCCAAAGACAAACAAAGACAAACAAACACAACAAAGACACTTAGATCAACTGATGTGCAGAGCTGAAGACACAGAAACAAAACGGGACACCACAGAAATAATCAACAACAGTCTGCACCCGCGCCACTGTGGCAGCTCTGTGAGGCTGCACTAAAGCACTGTGGTGTTAAGGCTAAATGCTAACACATCTGGGTTTAACACACAGAAATTTACAAAATATTTACCAAAAATTGAAAAATAATTCAAATAATTATAAGGCTAACAAATTACTGCAATTTGAAAGAAAAACTCTGAAACTATAAGATCCCTGAAATATAATTCAAAATAGGTTTTACCTTCCCTGTAATATTTTTGTTTCAATATCAGCTTGCTATGTAGTCCATAATTAGTTACGAGCTAAGCTGTGATGGCAAGTTAGTAAGCAGAGGTCAAATTAATGGTGCCATGGTTCCAAAATAAAACTACTTGGAAGAAAAGTTCAGATCAGAAGGAGAATTTTTCAAGCAGCTGAGCTCAAAGTGCCAGTAGCTAATCAGTGGTAATGAAGTCTCCATAGCTGATGATGAGGGGCTGACCGTTACGGTGTATGAGAGCTACCCCTTTGTCCATATCTGGATAGGACAGGCCTACGCTACTATATTTAACGCTGGTCATAATGATGGTACTTGGAGAACCTACAATTTACTACGGTGATATATGGTTTGATGTGTTAGCATGCTACCATTTGCTGATATGAACTCAACACCAACTACAGCTCAGGACGAGGGGCATTCCTATAGTTTCGCAGGTATTTAGTCATAAACCAAAGTATTGGACAAACTGAACTTTTGACACCTTTTGATGGCGGCACTAGAGGGAAATTTAGGGGATCACCAAAGTCATGATTCATCATCAGGGGAACATAAATATCTGTGTAAAATTCCATCTCAATCTGTCCAGTGGTTGTTGAGATACGGCTAGCATGGCTGATACAGCAAAAAGTATTATACCATGGTCTGGGTGAATACTCTTTTCTGATTGGTCGGCAGGTATGCGTTAAAACCCTTTAATGCACACGTAGTTCGGCTAAACTTTATAACTGTCTAAATTCATCCGCTAACCAGCCTGTAACCATAGCAACATTAACGAGCGCAGCTGTCAAACTGTCAACTGCCGAGGGAAAAAAAACACTGCAGCTGTCAAACAACTTCCGAGGGAAAGAACAAACAGAAATGGCTGTTTTTAACATTTCTTTTAAGTAGTAGTTCGGTTATTATCTGCTTTATTTGAAATAGAAGCTAGCTGTGTCTCTTATTTAATCTAATCAATTTAGCAAATGTCTATCATTGCCTGATGGCCTATCTGCACACGACTCACTACTTGATCCGATCATTTTATAAACAATAACCACACTGTGGAATAATTTTGACCTAAATCAAGCTTAATTTTAATTTTTAATAGGCTACTTTTGGCTTTGTTAAAGCGATTGAGCCTCATCCCGTCCTACTGTGACTACTGTAACTGGCATGGTTGTAAAAGGGACTAGTTTATTTCTTGTCATGACAATAGTAAGCTCTTGCTTCAAAAACGTTCGATTTTAAGTAAAAAACTTTCACCAGAAGTTGTCGAATCCTTTTATTCCTATATTCTTAGCAAATGACCATGGTATAAGCGGGTTAATCCACTAGTTGGTGTGTTCCAAATGGTTTTAATGCACTTGGCGGAGGCAACTTCTTTGCCCCCACATCGTGCATTAAAACTGTTTGGAACACACCTACTAGTGGATTAACCCTTACTTAAAACACTATGCAACCTCTCTTCTTTAAAGGTTCCATACTTTAGAAAGTCAAATTTACCTGTCTTTTTATTGTAAAGCAGGAATAGGTGCTGTGTAAATACTGGCCAAGTATCAGAATGCTCAACCCACAGAGAAAAACACAGCCTCTATTCAGAAACTGTGCCTTTAAACGAGCCATCGCGACTACTGTGAAGGTATGATGTCACAACTATACTATATAGAGATAGAAACCACTGCTTCAATGCTGTTACAGTAACGCCCTGGCTGCAATGACAGTACAGAGACGCCAAGAGTGTGGACGTGGAACACCTGCAAACACTGACCAATCAGAGCAGACTGGGCTTTGGGGAGGCAGGCTTAAAGAGACAGGCACTAAAACAGAGCGTTTCAGACAAGAGTGAACACAGGTATACTCAGTATGAGAGAAATAACATTTATTTAGAACATTAAAGCATGTAAATATGTTTTAGTAGAAGCCCAAAATACAAGTATGAACTTGAAAACAAGCTTAATATGGGATCTTTAAATCCACTTCCCAGCAGTTAGAGACACTCTGTCTGTCTCACACACTCCCCCACACACATCAAACTCATTAATCTCTCACTTAGACTCACCTACAAGACTCATACATACATGCAATTGGCTTCCCACTCAACAGGCTCTCCCTCTCATGCCACCAGTGGACTTAATGCGCTTTGCTTAAGGATGATGAGCGCACTAGTGGAGGCGGAGTGCCCTCAGAAGAGTCGGGTTAAGTAGCTTGATGCTGTCACCTCTCGCAAGGTTAAAAACATCACATTATGCGCCACTTTCACCCGACTGAGCTCAGCTGTTAACTGGCTCGTATGTGCCGCCATGCTGGATCGAACAGTTTGGTGTGAGGAGGGTTTATATCAGAGTGTTTTCTCAGTGCACACACAGTGCAGGCCGATGAATCCCCAAACAACAGTCTTCATCACTTCACTGCCTGTGGCTGCAGCCTGGCCTCGACAACGGCTGCTGCTAGAGGTCAATCTACCACACAGGGATATGATATGTTGCACAGGCACAATTATCACACACTCACACATAAAACATGTACACACACACACACAACGACACAGGCACCTGATGGACAATTAGTGGTTTACCCATCTGTTCATCTTTCGTGCTCGGAGCATCTGACGGCGTACCAGCAGTCCAACTCACGCTCAAGGTTAAATTTACCTCTGCCTAATGCTTTGTACATCTCTCTCTCTCTCTGCCTCAGACACACACACACAGACACACATGTCAGATGTAATGATTGTGGATGCTGACGCTTTCCATAGTAGTTGCTGTCTTAACCGCTTGTTGATTTCCTTCTAGCCTTAAGACACCATTGATTGTCTTGCCACAGTGCCGGCACAGTGTGTGAGCCTGTGAGATCGAGCTGCTACCGTGGGGCTGTTTCCTTTCAGGTCCTGAACTCAAAGCCTCAAAGACATTTAGCTAAGCAGGCATCCAGGCCCCTGTGTGGCAAAATGTTTTTCCTGTCTTCCTAAAACCTTGCATCTTTTCCTCTCCTCCCCGCATCTCTGCTTCCTCTCTGCCCTCCTCGCCACATGTCTGCAGGTGGATATACATCTCTCCAGACGCTTCATTAGTTCCATTAAGACTCCTTCCAACAGCTCTGAAAGCTACACCGTTTCTCCTAAACAACAGACAGGTGTAGTGCTCTCTCCTCACACAGGGATCAAAGAGTCTTTTACTTAAGACAAACACATGAATCAGAGCAGCAGGAATGTGTTTACTTATATAATTGAGGTAAAAAGAAACTTAAGAGCTACCCGTGCTGTTCTTTGAACTGAGCGGCGGAATCATTACTGTCTGTGTCTGTACCTGTGGTACGAGGCGGTCCAGCTGAGTGAATCTGTTCCTGTGCGACGGGTGTGTGGACAGCCACTCTGGGAAGGTGGGCTCTCCTGTCAGCTGGTCTCTGATTTCCATTTGCCGCCAGAATACGGGTCCTGCTCGCACATCTGCACATGCCTGGGAAGGACACACACACACAGACACACACAGACACACACATCGTGGCATCCCTCTGTCTTGTGCTGGGATGAAAATCCTTACTGACATATCAACTGAGTTTAGTTTGACAACAGTGCCCCCTAGTGTCCTGCAGACATATTACAAGATATGACAGCTACATTAGAGAACTATGATTTTGCAATGTGAAAACACTGATTACTAGGAGTAAGAGGGTTTTAAGCTATTCCTTAATCATGACCCCTAAAAGGCATCAATGGTCTTTAGTGATGCCATATTACATAAAAGTGTATAAAGTCAGGGAACTTAAAAACATGGTCAAAGTTGAAACACTAGTCCTTTGCATGGGTCACCCTCCAAAAATACTGGATCCTACATTGTGCATAATGCAACTCAATAGCATCTTTCATTGGACACCCCTTATTTAAACCCCACACTTCCAGGCTTTCTGTAAAAGCAATTAACTTGAAAGCCCAAGCCGAGATAACCCTGATGTCATCTGGCCAAGACACTAAAAGCAAGCCAAAACCAGGCAGCAAAATAGGCGAAATTTGGAAATATTTTTCAAACTTTGGAAATATCCTCCAGAGCCACAGAATATATTATACAACTGTTTTCTCTGGCTGTGTAGTACTCCTCGTGACAAGTAAGCTGAACTGAATGTGCAAACTCTGTAGTTTTTCTTTAAAAGGACAGTTGACTCCATAATCAAAAATTAGGGATGCACCGAATATTCGGTAACCAAATATATTCGGCCGAATATTGCAAAAAAACACACATTCGGTATTCGGTGGAATAAGTGAAAAGCAAGGCCGAATAATAGCGGCGTGTTTTGATAACGCAATCAAACAGCGTGCGGTGACGGACGGAGTAAAATGTTGGCAGTGTGGCGATATTTTACTCCATCCGTCACCGCACTCACATTTGCGACTAAAAATAGTTTTGTGCGGGCAAAATAAATCATTCAGCACGCTGTGTGAGTACAGATTTCAACCAGCAGCAGAAACTAAAGGCGAATCCCGCTGGTTGTGGGTTGAACGGGGGTCACAGACACAGACAGGAATGTATTCCTGTCAAATACGGCGGCCATAGTGCTTCGCAGTGCAAGATAAGGCTTACCGGCGACGGAGAAGTCCGGCTCCAATAATGTCCTCTTCTTGGTGTCATGACTGCCCAAAAGTACCTGAACAGCCGAGCCGTGGCGGCACACAGGTATATGACGTGTCAGAGGAGAAACGAGCCGTTCACATTTCTCTCTTTGTGTCAGTAACGGTCTACAAACCTCACCGCACTTTAGGGACTGTTCTTTACTTATGAAGGGACTGTTCTTTACTTGTCAGGGGAGGAGGGTGGCTGGTTGATTTTTATTTTATTTATTTATTTTATTTTGATCCCCCCCTATGTTCATCACTGATTGATGCTGTTTTTGAAGTATGAATAAGTCAATAAGTAATTTATTCCATTGAAATATCATTGATGTATTATAGAAAAGTAATTTATCTTTTTATAAATGACAAAAGGCACATCTGCCTCATTTTTGCTGTGGTATCGTGATACTACTCAGAACCATGATACTTTCACTGGTATCGTACTGTGGGTCCCAATTTTGGTACCGTGACACCACTAATCTGGAGGGGGTTCATCTGCAAAAACTAATGAAAAACTAAACAACGATATTCGGTACTCGGTATTCGGCCAAGCGTTTGATTTTATTCAGCTTTGGCTTCATAGCGATGTCTGTCTGGTACTAAAGATAATCCACAGACCTTGTTGTAAGCAGTTTCATCTAGGAACTATTTTCTTTCTACCGAACTACACCCAACAACTGTATCACTGGGCAGGAGGAAGCATGCATCTACTCACTGACAAAACATTAGCTAACTCTGTTGTGCTAGGTGAGTTAGCAGTAGATGCACGCTTCCTTCTGTGCAGTGATGTGGCTGTGGGTGAAATTTGGTAGACAGAAAATAGTTCCCACATGAGACTGCTCACAACAAGGTCTGTGGATTAGCTTGAGTAACCGGGTCATGATTTCTGTAAAGAGACACTGCTGTTGCGTTTTTCAAATGTTATTTTTTGGCGCTCTGAGTACCACAAGCCGAGTGCCATCTGAATGGCCAATGCCGCAAACACTTGGCACTCACACCAAAACAGTCTATACTGACAAATAGCTCTACAGGGAAGAGGAAACATATGTTTTTTTTTTAATTTTGGGGTGAACTGTCCCTTTAAGTAAGAACAAATTAGAGATGATGATACCTTAGCAGCCAACTGCAATCCCACGTGATCAGCCTCTGCCTCCAGTTTCCTGCTGAAGGGACGGCTGAACATCAACTGAGGGAGAGACAAATAGTGTCTTGATACTTATTTCCCTTATTAAAGTCCAAGTATATTTCAGTGCTTGTCAGACAGACTTAAGGAGGTGTTGCATTGTCAGTGAACACTGTGTGCAAAGTGTGAATAATCACATTTTTCCTCAGGAAACTGTGTTGTACAGTGTGTGTGGGCAACATTCTGGAATAGGTCTCACCTGGGAAAGCTTGTCCTGTACCCACTGTCCCAGCACAGCCAGACTGTCTCGAGGACACACAGCCCAGATGGCTGTCAGCAGAATAAGGGACAGGAGGTCTATGACATGAGACAGACTGGCCTGTTCTGCCTGGGGGAGGAGGGCAGAGGGACATGGGATGACAAGGAGGAGATGACAGAGGAGACAAAGAAGGAATGTAGAAAGTGAGGGATTGGGGTGAAAAAAAAGAAGAGAGTGGGATAAGGAGAGAATAATAGAGGTAAAAAGTTTTGGGAGGTGAACAAGGCAGCTGGAACATATTGATTGTTCTCATCTATTTTAGTGGAACTTTAACGCTGTAACAGATTTAGAGGTTTTAACAGCCAATCCAATAGAGCACACCTACTGGGTAATACCAAGCCCATCGATGCTCATTCCCTTCATCTAATTAAAATCTCCTTCAAGCATTTCCTCTGAGGACGTTTAAAGTCTTGAAATACACACAACTTCATTAGACACTTTTTTAGAACAAGAAGAATGGGCTTTTGTAGCCAGAGTAAAAACAGCCATCTGTGGAGAATTAATAAAGCACGACAGTGCCCTAGGTCGACAGGACTTTGGTCGTCATAGCGCAGACAGGATTAGTGAGTGTTCGGAGGTGATTGTCAGAGAGTCTTTATCACCGGCTGATGCAACAACACTGCAACTGGTGCCACTTCAGCCATTACTATACTGCTGCGATGGGGGGGGGGCTGATGATGAATAGTCAGGAGATCTGTGTGTAATGCACATACCTATAGGAGGTCCAACAAATACATATTTTAAAAGCTTGTGTGGGAGAAACCTGGAAGACTTCCAGCTATAACTTCTATTCTGTGTGCCAAGGGCTTCGAAATGACTTAACTTTGTTCTTGAACATTATTTGCACTTTAAGTGTTTTCAGTGACTCATCCTCATGCATGGCGAGGTCTGCTACCATCAACTTAGCCTCTCTAATGTCAGCACACTGCACACAGGTTTCTGTAAACTGCAGCATGTCATCCTCCACAGAGCTAAACAGGTTGCCAAGTTTTCTGCATCAAACTCAGCAGTGCTGTCTTTGTGTGTTGTGCAATTTAAATAGTTTGACTCAGGGCTGGGCAATACATCAACATTACATCAATGTCATGACATGAGACTAGATACCGTCTTGGATTTTGGATACTGTAACATAGTGAGTGTTGTCTTCTCCTGGTTTTAAAGGCTGCATTAAAATAAAGTGAGGTAATTTTTTGAACTTGTATTATTACCCTTTACCCACTTAGTCATAGTATCCATGTGACTGATAATTATTTATCAAAAATCTTATGGTGTAAATATTTTGTGAAAGCACCAACAGTCAACCCTACAATATCGTCTCAATATGGATAAATATAGTGATATTTGATTTTCTCCATATCACCCAGCCCTAGTTTGACTCCCTCATATAACTGCAGCTTGCACTGAATGAATTAAAGAATGAATGCAGACGATGAGAGAGTTCTTTCTGTGAATAAATATGGAATAATTTCCTCCCTATTCCATAGCTGCAATAACAACTTTGGCCTGTCGCTACTGTTCCGTGAGGAAGTTGGAACAAAATGTCAACTAGTGGATTATTAATGTGTTTCAAGGTCATTATGGCAAATTCCTGAAATGATTTCATCTGTCAAAAAATGTCGTCACTGACTCTAATGTCTAGTCAAAAAATTCATGTGATAACATGCAGTGTGGGCGCCCAGTAGCTCACCTGGTAGAGCGAGCACCTCTTGTACTAAAGTGTCCTTGCCGCAGTGGCCTGGGTTTGATTTCAACGTGCAGCCCTTTGCTGCATGCCATCCCCTATCTCTTCCCTTTCACTCTTCAGCTGTCCTTTCAAATAAAGGCAAAAAAGCTAAAAAGAAATATTGTAAAAAAAAAAAAATAATAATAATAATGATACGCAGCAGTGGGCGCAGTGCTGAAAATCTATACTTGAGTATATGTGCAATAACTCCCATAAAAAAATGACTCAAGTAAAAGTGAAAATCACCATTAAAGAAACTCACCCCAGCAAAGATTTAAAAAGTACCTGGTTGATAAATTACTCAAACTACATGCTACTTTCCATTTTAACGTTTTCCAGGGTGTGTGAGCCAGTGCAAAATAATAAAAGCATCTGTTGAATTTTTTAACAACTTAATAACACTAACCACTTTTTTTTTTTTTTAAGATTTTTTTTTTGGGCATTTTTAGCCTTTATTTGATAGGACAGACAAGTGTGAAAGGGGGAGAGAGAGAGGGAGTGACATGCAGCAAAGGGCCACAGGCTGGAGTCGAACCCGGGCCGCTGCGGCAACAGCCTTGTACATGGGGCGCCTGCTCTACCACTAAGCCACCGACGCCCCAACACTAACCACTTTTAATGAGGATTAATAATTTTAAAAGCCCAACTGACTACTTGCTACTCTGTAAGTTAATGTCATTATCATAACATCAAAGATTAACATAAAAATGAACATACCTGTGACTAACATTAGCTAGCTAACTACATTTCATCCACAGTCTGTGACACTGGGGTTCAGTGAGCTTGCAGATGTTATGAGTTGTCTTTTTTGGATTTTGGTACAAAAAGTGTAGAGAGATTGTCGCTGGAATCTGCCCCTTGTTCTGCGTTTTACTTCATCGTCATCACATTGTGGTCAAAAGACAGGTGAGGCTTCTTTTTCTCGCAGGGAGCTGGCAACTTGGCATCCACAGTAGAGGTGCTCGTGCCACGCCACGCCACACCATGCCCCCCCCCCCCCCCCCCCCCCCCCCCCCCCCCCCCCCCCCCCCCCCCCCCCCCCCCCCCCCCCCCCCCCCCAAACACACACACACACACACACTCAGAGTAGACTAGTTGCACTAAAAGCATAGATGTCAAATGTAATGAAGTAAAAAGTTTTTCACTTATGTGCCTTACTTGTAATGTGTTACTACCCATCCCTGATTATATGACGATACATGGTGATACAAGCAAGGGTAGAAACAGAAGCCACAGGAACAGTCACAGTCTGCAGAGGGTTGTGTACTTACAGAGTGACCCAGTAAAGCATGAGCCATCTCGTGTCCCAAGACAAAGGTGAGCTGATGAATATCTGCCACAGCTTCCAGCATCCCAGTGAAAATGAACACTTTCCCGTTCTACATAAAGGAAACTACAAATCAAATCTGAACCATATGGTGTTTGAAGACATTCTTTCAATGTGTACAAAAAATCCTCACATGATTTTAAGGATGCTATAATGTGATAATAAGACATAAAAGACGAAGAGAGGTGTAAGTGTGCGTCTGTCTTTGTTTTACTGACCGGGAGGACAAAGGCATTGACGGTGGCACCTTCCACCACGTGGACGCTCCAGGTGACTTCAGACACTTCAGGGATGTCTTGGTTTCTTTGCGCCAGGTGCTGCACAACCCGCTCCACCACCTGGTGCCGGGGGTCAGTGACTGGAACCAACTGCTCTGCAAAGTCCTCCATGTACTGACACACACACACACACACACACTTAAGCATTTTAGGAATAATTTCATTTGCGTAATTTCTCCTCATATTAAATTTTTTCCCCCTTCATCCATTTACTAAATGACATTTTAATTGTCATCACCGTTTTCATTTCAATGAATCTTGTGTGAGCAAAAAGGATAGTCTTCTAGTCTAGATCTTCTAAATCCCCTGTCCACACACACACACACACACATACACACTTGCTCCCGTCCTTCCCTCACCGCTGCTGAAGTCACAGCTGCCAGCTCCATGTAGTTCTCCCTGCTGAACACCAGGAGGCGGGTCCGTCCAGTCACCGGGGACTCATCCAGGTGGGTCAGGAGAAGGAGGACTACAATCACCATGGCAACGCATGCCCCCGCTGCCAGATGCCAGCGGCGCTGCCAGGCCCATTTGCGCATGAGCTCTCGGCGGTTGTCTGGTAGAGCCACCCACCACTTCCTTAAACTCCTGTGCATAAACGAAGGCCACGAGGTCTGTGATATCTCTTTATGTAGCTCACCTCACTCTATATGTATATGTTTCATATCTGTGGCTCACACAGCCTCATGCAGCACATTTGAAATCATATACTGCACTACAGTGGTGAAGACTGAGAAGAAAAGATAAATGTGCATGTCTGGGATTTATTAGAAAATGCTGTAAGACAAATCAGAAGCAAAAGTTCCAATACAAATGTAGGAATCCAGGCAGACCCACACACATCTCAAAGTAGGTCTGGCAGAGAAAATAGCATCATAACACACATAAAATATGTTCACAACAACAGTCATTCTGTGTGTTTTCCCTGAGGAAACTGTCAAATATTAAAGTTGACAAAGTAGGCCAAGACTTTTTTGAAACAGTAACTAAACAAATCAACTCTCTGTATTACAGGAAGTTCTATTATGGGGGAAAATGTTTCTGATTCAGTTCTCCAACTCATATAGAACCAATTAACAGTGCCTCACTGATTCGTGTGATGTTAAACCTTGTGTATGCCAAAGAATACTGATATAGTCAGTCTGCTTCAGTGATTAATTTTGATTTCAAATTAGTGTGATAAGTCACAGCAGATCAGACAAGACAGAACGAAACACAAAAGGCAAACAGCCAAGGTTGACACGACAGGTCAAAACATGCATCGTACACACAACGCAAACACAACAAGAAAAAAAAGGGTGTGATCGAGCATGTGACCAAAATACTGTAGATATGTTACGTTGATGTGCGTTGTGGAAAAATTATTCAATGTGAAAGTATCTGAAAATCACCACATATAATAATAATTGTATGATCATATGATTCATCCATGGTCAGGGTTTAAGCACTTTCAGCCTCAGAGTCCTTCACTGTCTGCATGCAGGCATGTGAGGACGCTCCAGAATATCTGAAGGCTAAGAAAGTGCAGGATGAAGACCTTATAGTTGTTTAGACTCCAGTGTTATAGACACATCTGTGTGATGTGTGAAATACACTATAAAAGGCTGAGTCATTGTTCTGTTACTTTAAGTTTTTCTATATGGCCGTGTCCATGCATCTTCTCTCCTCTGAGAGCATATTCAACTGTCTGTGACTCATTGAGTTCCTTATATTATTCATCAAAATAAGGATTGATCAACAGTACAAGTTTTTTCCCACATCACTGTGGGATGTGTGTATTAGAGAAGGAGTGGGCGGTCTGTTGTGTAGGGTTACAAGTGTGTAGTACATGTGAGTGTGACAGCAGTGGGGAGGAGCTGTTCAATAAAATAATTAATTAAACTATATAAATAACAAACAAACAAAAAACACAAAGGACAACTGAAATAAGGAGTATGTAAGACTAAAAATAAATAAATAAAAGTCTGTAGATATACACATATTACAGTAATGAAAGAGGGGTTTTTTAACAGTTAATTAAAATGAGTTAATTAACAAAACGTGCTTTGTACTTTATTTGTTATAATTAAATAATACTGTGCCTTAAGGCATTGAACACATTTCTCTGTACATGTGTAAATGGAAAAATGGATACAGCATAGTATCACCATATTTTTGTGTATCAACTTTTTTAATATGAATTATTAATACAAATTAAACTTAAGGTAGCCTGCTAAAATGATATTATACATTACTTTTTTGCTCCACTAGACATTTTGCTGCTGGACAAATAAATGACTGAAGTGAGGTGAACAATCTGAAAACTTGATCTGATTATTAGATGAAACAGATGTTGACAAAGTTTTCTTTTGGGGACATAATTTACAGCTGACAGAGGAGATTCCCACAAACAGCTCCAGTGTGTCTCCTACCTGCCCAGGATTATGGCCATGAGCTTCTGCAGAGGTTTGAGCACCATCCATATGAGAGGAGCAGGCAGGGCCCTCACAGGAGCTGAGGTGTGGAAGTGGTGTCCACACTGTGCCAGGACACGGGCGGAGTGCAGAGGTGAGGAGGTTTTGGGAGCAATCTGTAAACAAGCTGTCCTCCCATTGCTACAGAAGAGGAGAGGCGGTGCAGATGGAGTGGCTCTAAAGTGTCTGTAACAGCTGATCTGTGAGGACGCCTTTTTCACAGGGTTTCCAGCAGCTTGTTTGCAAACTTGGACTTTTTGTGTCAGATGTGTGGAGAGAGAAAAGACGCGGTTGCTCCTTAAAAGATTTACGCAAAGGAAGATCATGGTGCCTGCTAGTAGAGAAACACTTCCTGCTTCACTCTTGTATAGTTTCCTTGAGCTCTTTTGCACCTAATAACGTTACAAACACGCCGCCGCTTATTATCTGAGAGGGTCGCAGTTCCTCATCTTAATGTACAACTTTTTATAAAACTTCACCTCGTTAATTTCATACCGGTTAGTTCCTAACTGTCCGCAGCTCTCAATGTCACTGATTGACGCTAACTCCGAGTAACCTTGGTTACCACGACTGTCCAACATCCGTACGAATAAAATGTCCGCGCCTGTCCCAAAAGTTTGTTTTATAAAACCTTAAAACGTCGAGTTAATACATAGTTTCCTTGCGACGCGAGACGTCAGTACTCTTCATAACAGAATAAACGGAGCTGTGGTTGTTTGGGCTCCTGCCTCCATAATGATTCCCCCTAGAAACGACTCCGCGAGGAACGTTCCGGGCGGAAAGTTATCTCGCGATAGGTAAAAGTCAACGGAAGCTAGTAGCTACGAATACCGGGACAATTAAAAAAAATAAATACGCCATATACAGTTAGTATTTTCTTTAAGAAATACTGTGACTTCTTTCTGATATCCGCTTACATGCAGGAGACTAGTTTCAGATAAGTTCCAAAACAACAGCCTCTTAAAGGAGCAGTGTCTACGATTAAGGGGGATTTAGTGGCATCTAGCGGTGAGGATTGCACATTGCAACCAGATGAAACCTCCCAGTTAGAGTTCCTTCAACGTTTAGGGTGCATCTCATTTCCACCCCTTCCCCCTTCCCTTTGGTTTTGCGCGTTCACGTGTCTCAACCCTCATTTGGAGTAAGGGCTAGGGCCAAGACCGAGGGCTACATAGCCCTTGAAATGAAGATTTTGGAGGACCACATTTGAAAGAGAGAGCTATGAGGAATTTCGCATCATCCACCACGTAACCACTGAACAGACGGCTGGCAAAAGTTCTTTATGTAGCAATGGCTGAACGATCTCCCAGAGAATCGCACATACGTATTTTCAGCATTTTAATATCATAATTACGGCACTCATGTTTCATGATACAATTAATACATTGTTCGAGGGGTTTTGCTGACATTAACATTTCCATGTTCCTTCGTGTGTCACAACCTGAGACGACAGCATTTTTGTCACTTCTGCTGACGTAGCAGCCAGCTTGCGGGAAGGCATGATGACGCAAACGGTAATTGAGTGGTGTCTCATTTCTTAGGGGAACGTTTCTACCCCTAGCCTGCTCAACTCTGTATAGAGGGGCAAGGGGAAGACGCAGACGAAGGGGGAGGGGGAGGGGTAAGAATGAGAATTGGGACTCACCCTTAGTCTGTACTTGGCACCACCCTAAACACTCTCCAGAATTAAAATCTGTCTGTCAAGGGGACTACTCCTGCCCTCTGAAAGTGTTGGAGGTGACAGCATGTCCAGATTGATACAGAGAGCGAGAATGGTGAGCTCATGTCATCAGGATGGTCTTACCAGGCTAGTTTTTATTGGGAGCCCAATCATCTGCGGGATAGTCTTACCAGGCTAGTTTTTACTGGGAGCCCAGTTATCTGCGGGATAGTCTTACCAGGCTAGTTTTTACTGGGAGCCTAATTATCTGCAGGATGGTCTTACCAGGCTAGTTTTTACTGGGAGCCTAATTATCTGCAGGATGGTCTTACCAGGCTAGTTTTTATTGGGAGCCCAATCATCTGCAGGATAGTCTTACCAGGCTAGTTTTTACTGGGAGCCCAAATATCTGCAGGATGGTCCTACCAGGCTAGTTTTTACTGGGAGCCCAATCATCTGCAGAATGGTCTCCTCACCAAAACAAACGGACCAGGTGATTTAAATCGGTTAAAACATCGAAAAGAGCAGTCTCAAGTTATAAAATATGTTTGTCTGACACTAGCGCTGGCCGACATGAAAATGCAGAAATGAAAATGGCCTTATGTAATGCCAGTTTTTGGTTTGTCTGTTCTGGGCTACTGTAGAAACATGGTGGTGTAACATGGCGGACTCCCTGGACAAGGACCATCTCCCTATGTAGATGTAAACAGCTCATTCTGAGGTAACAGAAACACAAGGATTCTTGATTTCAGGTGATTATGCACTAAAGAAAACATACGTATGGTATTATATTCCATTTCTGGCTATGTTTCCTCCTGAATCCTGCACACTGAACCTTTAAAGCACTGTAACAAAAATATGCTGATCAAGCTATTAACACAAAAATAATACAAGACAACAAAATATGAAAATAAATTTTTATTTTCCTGTTTAAAAGAAACTGAAAAAGTGAAATGCTTTTTTCCCTCAATAACACACACACACTCTCTCCCTCTCTTTCTAATTTTTGGTTAAAGGACTTTTCTAAAATAATAAAATGTTAAAAAACTAAATGAATAAGTTGGTAACACTGATACAAAATCATTTCATATTCACATAAAAGCTTATACTTTGTTGAATATTGTGTTAAGAACGGTCTGATATATGGACCATCACAGTAAATAGTCATGTTCAGTCGACAGCACGGAGCCCAGATGCAACACTGGCTCAGAGGTTGTGTCTGTGGTCGGTGTGGGAGGCTGTACGCTGCTGTCTGAAGCTCTGCCAGAGTCCAGATCAGAGCCTCTTCCTCCCGTCTGGGGCCTCTCCTCACTGATCAGCTGATGAAAAGCAAAGTCATCTGAGTCCAATGGTCTGGATGAGATATTTAAAGATTCCCCTTCTTCCTGGTCACATGATTGCTGCTTGGCAATAAAGTCTGACTGGAAAAGTGCCTGGATCTGGGTGAGGAAGGGGTCTCCCTCCTCATCTGGCAGGGGCTCCAGGTACCTGGCCAGAGATGACAGCATCTAAAGGGAGGTGTCGGATGGAAGAGGTCAAGTGACAATTAAACCATAGAAGAGATAAATCAGTTAATGAAGCCATTCGCCACTAGTACGTGTGAATAGTAAATAGACTGATAGGCTGGACAGACCTTCTCCAGACAGGTGAGATGGGAATCTTTTCGGAAAAATCTGTCCATCTGCACACTCCTACCATAAACAGAAAAGGAAATGTTTAGATACGCCACCATTAAACTTTAAGACAAATTGTCTCAAATCACAAAAAGGCAGGATCAGCATCAAACCACATGTGCCAGGACAACTGATCTTGTTTCTCACTCACCCAGGTGTTTGACAGTATTTGTGGATGATCCACTGAGCTCTTCTCAACGTCTGTTCCCAGTCAGGAATGTCTTGTGATGACAGGAAGTCGAATCTGAAGGGCAGCTCTGAGGGAGGAACAGAGAGAGGGAGACTCAGCCAGAGGATAAACTGCTACCATATGCTGAAATCACTGACCTACATTGTCAGCTTGATTTCAAAGCCTCTTGATCTGAACTGTTTTGAAGTTTGGAATCATGGCTTTGTGTGTGTGTGTGTGTGTGTGTGTGTGTGTGTGTGTGTGAAACCTACTCTGTGGTCCTGAAGGCCCCTGGCTCTCTTTCACCAATAAGCAGGTAGTTTGGGAATGGGGGGAGGCATTGGCTGGGTCATATGGGCTCACTATCATCCCGATGAAGGGGGCTCCGCCACGTGAGAAATAACTCTGTAACACATGTTCACATAGACTAACTCCAGTGTGACTTCTCTCATCAATCAATCAATCAATCAATCATTCACTTATTAATGACCCCACAAAGCCAAGGTCAGTGGAACTTGCTTTTGGCACAGCACAGTTGGTCAGCTCAATATCGGAGACAATATTAGACCCATGACTATCACAACAGACACCATTTACAACATCAACAACAACAAAAAAAATCACAGAAAATATTTACAAGATTGATACCTGTCAGGGTCGGTGAGAAATGTTCAGAGAAAATTAAATATTCAATGAGAGGATATGCTGTCAATTTTTTCTCATATTTGACAGATTTACAGCTACTTTCGGAACAGCTGTTTTTTTAACAAGTTATTTTTATCGGTAATTCAATAAAGATATAGAGTATAGTGTAGTACTTACATTAATAAGAAAACACAGAACCTGTAAGAATGAAAAGACAACCGCACCCACCCATCAACACAAGAACAAACAGAGAAAGCCAGACCAGTGAAACAGAGTCCTGCACTGGGTCGGGTACCCGCAAAAACAGCTGATTTGCGGGTGGTTTTTAAAAAAACATTTTTTCCCGGGTTCGGATCTGGGTGGAAAAAATAACATGCGGGTCGGATCGCGTAAATAATTATTTAGGTATTTGAGAAATAAGTGGATAAAACGTACAACTATCACTTTATAATGTTTCTGAAGTGTTTCCCTGATGGATTACTTCTCTCCTCGATGGATTCTAAAAACACGTGACGGCTCGTAACTGCTGAACGTCGCTCTGGACAGAAAGTAAGTCTATTATTACACATGTAAAGTTCCTTTACATAGATTAAAAGTTTAAAAGCATTAAACGTAACCAACGAATGCTTTTACACTCGTATGGGAGAAGAACACAGAGGGTTGATGATGGAGCTGAAGTCAGGTTTTTATTGTGAGAGCTGCTTCATTCAGGTTGTTGTTTACTTACTGGCACCTTAACTGTGGCGATATGCTGTTCAATATTCAGCCAATATGACCCAAAATGATTACTTTAAATCCGGGTTACGGGGCGGGCTGCGGGTCGTGTTTCAACGGGTCAGACCGGGTTGCGGTACTAATTGGCCTGATGCGCGGGTTTGCGGTTCAGGTGCGGGTTTGTACGTCGCCGGGTCGGGTCGGGGCGGATCTTGAAAACTGGACCCGTGCAGGACTCTGGAGTATAGTCTCGGCACCAGACAATCAGAGATCTCCGCCTTCTGATAGTCTGGGGACACTCCTTTCTAAAGTGTGTTTAACACACCGGAGAAAACGGCCGGCAACAAAGCAACGCCTCTTGCATTTTTGAAAAGGACACGCCCTCCCGGAAATGTGCGCTCCCCCTTTTCTCGTCCGCAAGGAAACAAACACACAGAGAGCTTGAAAATGGATGGCGAGAGATTTAACTCTGTTTTATCAAACATGTGCTCAGTCTACAAGATTGTGGAAATGAAGGACTTACAGTGACTTGAGCCATTTTGTATCGCTACACGTGTTTCTAGTGGGACTATGTTTACGAGCACAAGAGTTCAGCGAGCCACCGAAGGACCGCCCTGCAGATTTACTATTGGTTCTGCAACATAGGGAGTTTTTTAAAACTCTGAAATTGTATCCGCCCATCTAAACACAAAATCAGGGAGAAAGTCATCAGTCTTTAGTTAAGCAAAGCGTCTAAAGACTGACTTGTGAGTCTAGGTAGAGTATAGCATGTTTCATTACAATTTTTGAGCTTCCATGTTTGCCACAAAAGTTAAAAATGGTTGCCAGGTGGCAAAGAAGCGTGCCGTTAATCCTTTGATAAAACAACTGATTTTCTCTTTTTCATAACATTCTTAATCCAATGTCCACGTGTTGGAGGTGAAGAGTCGGGACAACCAGCCTTCCAAACATTGTTCAAATAGTTTTAAATATTAAATCCCAGAAATGAAATAGTGGGCTAAGGGCTGGTTTGATAAACTGTGTCATGTGTATGTGCACTTTTCTGTCTAAGTGAGCCAGGATGACGTGTGTGGATGTTGATGTGTTTGGATTCTTTTTTAATGTCCTTCATGCACACATTTTTTATTGTTGGTTATTAACATTATTCTTTTCTTTATATAAAAATTTTAAAATGCATGCCCGTACACTTATTATTATGTTATTCTACACTGTTTTCCATAGAAATATTTTTTGGGGAAAAAAGAGACTTATTGCAGTTCTTTTGATTGTGTTTGTAATATAATTATTCAACTGATAGGAGAGGGAGTCAATAATCTTGTATGATTTATTGACCATGCTCTGCAGTTTTTTGTGTGTGACTGCCTGTGCTGCTGCACCAAACTATTACGAATGAAGTGAATATGTTCTCAATGACATCTGTGTAAAACTGAAGAATGAGGCTTCGATTTACTTTGTATTTTTTCAGCTGTCTTATTAAACACAGTCTTGGCTGCATCCATTCATTTTTACCTGGAACTGGTCCTGTGTGTTTATGTCCCGGACTGAAGGGTTGGGGTGGAAGGTGGGATGTGAGTGGTACCAGCCCACCACACTGAAGCCAAGGGACGACAGCACGTCACAGGCTTGTGTCTGAGACACGGGATCCATCTCACACTGCAAACCTGTACTCACACTGTTGCATGGCTCTGCAGCACAGATCTGCACAGACACACAGAATCATTTGTCATTAAATACAAATGTCAAAATTCATCTTCACCATTGTTCCTTTTCACTAATTTTCCTACCTTTAATATTCTCTCTTCTTCACTGAAAGTTCCACCGAGCAGACCAATGACTTCCCCCCGCGACACGTGGGCATGCTGACAATCACACATTTATCATTTTTTGAACTTTAAAATACAAGAAATGATAGTGACAGAATAAATGAGACCACGATATAACAAAAAGTAATCATTTATAGGCCTGGCTTACAGGTCAGTGGATTAACAGTTTCAAAACATTTCATGGTGCATGAGTTACACTAAATTTTCCCTAAACCCTAACCCTAACTCAACACTCAACAACTCACAAAATACAGTGATTTTGTGTGGTACTCGGTCACAAAATCTGATGGGTCACAGAGTTTGATGTCACACCTGCAGCTGACTACTTCTTAACACATCAGAATGATACCAAGAGAGAATACATTAAGCATTTCTGATCGTGTGTGAACCATACCATGTCCATTATGAGAAGAGTCTCTGCACACACAATGACCTGGAATGGTTCCTGAGGAAAACAGCAAAGAAGAGCTTTTAATACTTCTTAAAATTAAATTCCCGTCTTGCAAGATGCGTCGCACTGCTGATGACTGAACAGGGGGATAAATGACAGTTACAAAGTGTTTTCCAATAAAAACAATAATAAATATAAAAATGTACAAGACAGAAAACAGTATAAGATACTATGAAAAGTAACAATAAATACAATCAGTTAAGAAAAAGCCAAACGATAAAAGTGAGTTTTGAAAAGAAATTTAAAAGAGGTCACTCAGTTTTTGGAGCCATTAGTAGAGGGCGGCAACGACTGGTGTGATGTGGTCATTTCTCTTAGTACGAGTTAAAAGCCTGGCAGCAGTGTTTTGCCAGAATAAAGTGCACTGCAATAATCAAGTAAATGTCCACTGACCTGTACATCCTCTCCAAAAGACCTGCAGGGAATCAGCTGGAAGGGATCAAACGACCTAGAAGGAGTGAAATCATAAGTAGTTACTATTATATTAATATATAACTACAGGACTGTGGGGAATTCGGCACATGTTGCATGAGTCATCACGCTTACCCTTTGAATCTGGAGGTCTTGCAGGGTTTAGGCTGCTTCTTCATCTCTTCTCTCCGCAGAGCGAGTTCCTCAGCACTCAGATGCTGACAAAAACACACCAAACAGTACATATACTAAATATAACACTAAATATATTCATGCAAATCCACCCAGTGATCAATAGTTTGCTTTGAAATTGCAGTGTGAGTGAGTCCAAACCTCATACGTCTGTCCCTCCAGATCTTTAGAGTCACACCAGTTTCCCCATATGTCCCGCACACGGCGCTTCCTGGTCCGCTAAAAGGTGGAGCCAAACAGCAGTTAACTCACAGTTTAGATGCATGAAGGTGGGTGAGAGAGTTTGTGGGCACCTACCATGCTCTGCAGTCTCTGGGCGAGCTGGTACGCCTCAAGCACATCTTTGCCCTCCTTATGCTTGGAGCGATCCACCACCTTTGGGCGATTATAGACTGCTTGCTCTGTGAGAGAAGAGGCGGAGCTCCAAATGAAAAAGGAAGCCATACTTTAAAAAAAAAACAAAAAAACAGAGGACAGTCATCATAGGCTCAGTAAAGTTACCACAGTTGAAGTTGATGGCTCCAATGAGCTCCAGGTAGGTGTGTATTCTCCCGATGCAGTTGACGTCTCCGCAGTTCTTCAGTCCAGGGCGCACTGACGTCTTGTTCAGGTACTTGGGCTTACTCTTCAACCTGATGAACAAAAACAGTTACAAACACTTCCTCTGCAGAGCCGTGGTGACAGAATTTACCAAACAAGTTTTTTACCATTGATCCAGGATGTAGTTTCGGATCTTGAGGTATCTCTCAGGGGTCTTGGATGGTCGTCCCTCAAAGAACTCTGGGATTGCTTGTTTCTCATCCTCAGTGATGGCCTCCGTGTCCATCTCTATTTCCTGCTCAGGGGCCTTAAGTTCCTCCTCTTCCTCCTCCTCCTCTTCCTCCTCCTGGTCTTCCTCTGGTCCATCAGCTGGACTCCGCTCAGCTTTATCAGCAGCATCTGGCAGGCAAATAGGACCATGGTGTGACTTCACAAGCAAAAAAAAGTTGGGACGTCATCATGAGGGAATTTATGTAAAATGGCAGGTGTGAGTCTTACCTGTGTCATCACTACAGGCCTCTTCCAGTTGGCCAGTCTGTGCTGAGCTCTCACACTGGGAGCTCTGGTCTTCATTCTCATCGTCCATTTGCTCTGAGTCTGTCTGAGCTCCTGACTGAAAGTTCTTTGGAGGTAGTAATACTCTCTCTATGCCTTTCTCATCTGGCCCAGTTGAGGAAGGGAGGCAAGATGAGGGTTGAGGACTTTGTGGAGACAGCGTCGTGTGGCTGGGTTGGTCCTTCGTCTCAATCAGACCTGCCTCTTTCTGCTCGTCTGCGTCCGTCTGGAACTCAGTGCCCGTTATCTTCTCTGGCTCACAGAGCTCAGTTTTGACCACAGTCTGCAGTTTACTGTCACCCTCTCCATCATCGCTCAGGTCGTCAGTGATGTCTACCTCCTCGTCCTCTTCATCAGAAAGCTTCTCTATGCGGACAGTGTTTGACAGAGTGGATACATGACTGGAAGTGGGCTGAGGAGGTTGTAGGTGCAGCGCAGGACCTGCAGAGGGAGCTGCAGCTCTGGGTTCTGACTTGGCCTGAAAAAATGTACATATGACGACAGAGTTGGTTTGTTATTCATTCTTATTTCCCAAGCCCTCCTGAGGAATGTCTTCTGGTTGTGAAAGAGTTTGAACAATGAGGAAAGCACAAGTTTAACTATGAGGGACTGTAATTAGGCTTGTATTAACAAACTGAAGCATGTGAGCCCTGCGTGCCGCTTTGGTTGCAGCACAACACGGGAAGAAAGCCAAGGCAAGTCTCACCTTGTGTTTGAAATACTGTCTGGCATAGCTCTTGACCTGAAGAACAGAACGGCTGCCCACCAACTTGGCAATCTTTGTCCACCTTCGACCAAACTGAGCCTGCAGAAACACACACCCAGTATGTTAAACAATACACTCCCAAAGTGCCTCATATAAAACAAGTGTTACATCTGTTACAGGCCTGTAAACCCAAGCTGCAAATAGCCTCCAGAGACAAGGAAATCTCACCAGTCCTTCCTCAAACAGCTCTTTCTCCTGTTTGGACCAACGAGAGGATGATCCTGAGGCCGACGTCTTGGCTGGAGACCTGAACATGTGACAGGCAGAAGTGTGACAGGATTGCTAACAACATGAGGTGTAATCTGCTCATGTTAATGCTGGAGGAAGAACTGACTTACTTCTTCACTTTGGGCTGGTTGTGAGCATCACTTTCCCATATATGGTCAGGAATCCCCTCACCTGTCAGGTAGTATCTACAAGTGTGGTTCAGGACCAACAGAGTTCTTTCAAATCTCTCTTAAAAATGCACTTTGTCAGAAAGGTTTTCTCGTAGATCAGTTATTCTTCCATTTACTTTACTTGTTTTTATTATGTTTGAGTATTTCATGCTTTGGTTGTCATTATTACTTTTTCAGTTCTACTTTTATTTTTGTTTTAATGTCTTTGTAAAGCACTTTCCAACTTATTTTCGTAAAGTGCTATATAAATAAAGTTATTGTTAATATCGTTTTTGTAATTTAAAGGTCCAGTGTTTAGTATTTAGGGGGCCATATTGGCAGAAATGGAACATAGTACATTTGTTTTCTTTAGTGTAGAATAAGCTGAACAAATGAATCCTTGTGTTTTCTTTACCTCAAAATGCTGGCTCCAGATACAAGGTGATGCGAACTGCATCAAACTGTTAATTTTATTCTTTTTAATGGCACTGCTGTTGTAATAATTTTATTCTTTTCAATGATACTGCTGTTTTTATTTTTTTTTTAATTATTTCTAATGGTACTGTTGATTTTATTATTTTCTTCTTTTTAATTGTGCCTCTGTTTTAATAATTTTATTCTTTTTAATGGTACTGCTGTTTTTATTATTTTATTCTTTTTAATGGTGCTGCTATTTTCTTATTATTTTGTTCTTTTTAATGGTACTGCTGTTTTTATTATTTTATTCTTTTTAATGGTACTGCTATTTTTTTATTATTATTTTTTTAATAGTGCTGCTTTTATTATTTTAAATTTTTTAATGGTACCACTATTATTTTATTCTTTTTAATGGTGCTGCTGTTTTAATAATTTTATTATTTTTAATGGTACTGCTATTTTTTTTATTACTATTTTATTCTTTTTAATGGTACTGCTATTTTTTTATTATTTTATTATTTTTAATGGTGCTGCTGTTTTTATTATTTTATTACTTTAAATGGTTTGGTTTTCACTTACTTTATGGATCTGTTTTTATCCTCTATGTCTGTGCGTGGAGCTCACTGCAAGAAATTCCACTCGACTATGTCGACATGACAGTAACGTATTGAATGTTGAATAGTGTTGCAACGGTACGAGATATTCACGGTACAAGAATCATCTCCAAAAATATTGTGGTTTCATAGAATTTATATTAATCAGTCAGAATGATCCTTAAAGGGATGAAAATGGAAGGGTAACTGTTGGCTGAACAAATGTTGTATTAGTTAATTAAATTTTAAAACAATTTGGTTGATGGAAGAGTGTGTAAAAAGTCTCCCCTCAGATAATAACTACAATAAAGGGGAGATTCAACGTTCAGTTGCATTTTCTTTCAATGTCGTATATAAGCAAATGTACACGGTATGATAACCATCAACCTTTACATCCCAGTATACCTTGAAGACTGGTATAATGCTGCAACCTTAATCTTTAATCTTGAACCTGTAGCTCATCAAGCCTGCAGTTTGCAGTGAAGCTACTGGACACTGTGTAGCCATTATGTCAGGATCATTCCCACTGCTGTGATGCATTCAGGGTCAGTGAAAGGATACTGTTCCTCCAGCAGCATCCTCTCTATCACCTCTCTGTTCTCTGGGCTGATGGAGCTGTCCAGCTCCCATGGCTGCACAACACAGAGACACACAGAGTCAACACCAGCACTGACACACACACACACACACACACACACACACACACACACACACACACGCACACACACACACACACACACAGAGGGACTATTAGCTTCATGAACTCATACCAGTATCCCTGCGCTGCTCTTCCACGCAGACTGGATGAACTGCTGCTCCTGGACTAAACCTCCTCCGTCCAGCTCACTGCAACAGAGAGACAAGACACCGAGGGGACACCTCTCATTAATGGGACACACAGGACAGCTAACCGCAGCTGTACCGAGCTCTGCGGGACTGAAGACAATAACCAGGTCTCTGTGAACCGGCTCAGACTGCAGCAAACAGGCCCGACATACAGTGTGTAAGTTAATTAATCACAAACAGTGAATATTCTCACCTAATACTGCTGTCAGACTCGTCTCCCTCGATATCAACATCCACCTCGTCCTCCATGTTGGTGGCTAAACGTAAACAACAGACAGGACAGAGAGAAGCAGCAGAGGAACACAGCGCTCAGCTCTGCGCACAGCGACACCCTGTGGCGGGAGGTAACATGTGCAGCTTTCTCTGATGAAAATTACAGGAAATTCAAACAACAAAAGTAGAGATGTCCTGATCACCAAGTTTTACAATGGTTTATCTTTTTTTTTTTTTTTAAATACTTCTTTATGATGATTTTTTTACGTTTAGGAACAAAATAAAAAATAAATTAAAAAAGAAATGCAATACAAAGGGGACAAAATCACGTGGAGTCTGTCTCATTGGCTAAATAAACACACATTTTTCTCCACTGTTTTCCCCCCAATTTGTTTTGAACTCATATGGAATATGTCATCTGTTGCAGAAGATCTAAGTGTCTAACAGTATTAATGGGGGCTAGCAGTGGGGCAGTTTTTTTCTGGAGTCAGTATTTTGTAATGGCCTTTTTACTTGCTGCCAGCAGGATCTTCAGTAGACAGATCTTTACTTAGTCCATCAGGGATGTGTCCAAGATAAAGGGATGTGAATGTTGTAGTAATACTAAGTTTTTGAAATGACTGTTGCAAGTTCCTTACAGAAAGTCTGAATAGAAGGACAAGACCAAGAAATATGGGCACGGTCAGCCATGATTTCTCCACATACCCTCCAGCAGCATAGCTGGGTGCCAGTTTTTTTAGACTTCTGTTTGGGCGTGATGAAAAAGAGATCAGGTTTTTCCAGCAGAAGTCTGTCCAGGTCCAGTGGAAATAGTTTATCTTATACAATCAGTAACAGCCTACAGCTGCACAGTGCACTGAAAGCCCAAGAAGCAAAAACAAAACATTTATTTTTTGCTTGTAAATATATGACATGTTTTAGGGAGTTGCTTCAAAATTGGATATCAGAAAAGAACTCTTAAGTGATCAATGTAGAATATATTGTGTTAAATTTGGAGTGCTAATGGAGGATAAATAAAACACAGAAATGATGTACAACACCTTGATTATCATGACTGAACAATTCAGCCACACATCTAGATTCATTAGCCTAATGCCTGACAATATTTCCTTGTCTCCATGAATAAATTAAATTTTTAAGGAAGCACTGAAATGTACCAAAACCAAACAAGCCTCACATATTTGACCTCTGACCATTTCATTTATTTTATATTATTTTCAGTAGGGATGCACAATATTAGATTGTTTTTGTTTTTTTTTTGCAGATATCCGATATGCCGATACATAACAACTAATTTGTNTAGTCATGAAAATAAAGAAAACGCATTGAATGAGAAGGTGTGTCCAAACTTTTGGCCTGTACTGTATATATATATATATATATATATACACACACCTTTTCCCCTCCTAGTTTTGTTGATCATTAAGTCTCTCCTGTAGTGGAATTAACATCATGCATGCATACTCTTATCATGATGGTCAACCAGCAGATGGAGACATGAAATACAATACTTTTCATTGTGCAAAATAGGGAGAAGCATGTTGGCCAATTCCAATAGTTCACTTTAAAGCTTTTATTGGCCAATACTGGTGACGTGCCAATATCATCGCGCATTCCTAAATTTCAGTGTATTTATTTTTTTGTTTATTTTTAATGAGAGTCCTAAACTCAATCTGTAATTTGTATTGTACTTAATTATCAACTTCCTGTTGTAATTGCCAGAATTTGTTACTAAAGAAAGATTTAAAAGAAGTAGCAAAAACAATTTAGATACCGGTATGTCTGACAGTCAAGATTCTGTCTAAAGAAAATATAACATGCTACACAGGTCTAATATTTGTTTTAATATCCTGTAGTACAGGGGTCAGCAACCTTTACTATCAAAAGAGCCATTTTTTTCCAATAATAATGATGATAATAATAATAATAATAATAATAATAATAATAATAATAATAATACATCTAAATGAGCATTCCTTAATATGTTTTAGCCCAAGGTGGCTCACCAGCAGAGGGCCATTTATTAACATTTGGTCAGAGCTGGTGGTGAAAACAAATGAATCTGTCTACCCATTATTAATTATTATTAATGTCTCTATTTTCCTTATTATTATTTTCCTCAGAGACTGTGACATTTTTGGATTTGGAGTCCTTGGCTAGCCTCACTGGGAAGATTCAACATTAGCCACCACTACTGAGGCTCATTCAGACGTGACCTCAGAAACATTAGGGGAAAAGGTGCCAGGCCAGAGATGCACTTAACAGCACTTAGAAAACTACTCAATAATCTGCACAGCGCCTTTTCCCTCCCTGCACGCCACTCTGGGGTCCTGTCAGAGCACATTAGGCTGTAGACTGACACCAGCAAGGAGGACTCATGTTCACTTGCAATATCATTTTCTCAGTCATGTGCAATACTACTTGTCATTGTTGTATTTGATATAACATTATTATCAGGAGCAGTCTGCTATTCACCATTTAGTTCATTTTTATTAACTCTTGTCGTACTCCTATTGTTACTCTATTAGGCACTGGTTTTTGCTTTTGCTCCTTGAAACACATCTATATTGTATATTTATGTATTTTGCCAGATATCTAATACACTATTGTCCATTTGTCTGGTTGTGAATTGTTAAAATGGTGGTTACTGTACTTAGTGTAACTGTAATTTGAAGCATTATCTGGCACAAGAATTTCCTTCAGGATAAATAATGATTTGAATTGAATTGAAAACATTAAAAAAAAATTTTACCGTTAGACAATGTAAACATTTCTTTCAGCCCACTACAATGATATATAAAAATTAAAATGTTATTCATTACCATATGATTTATTTTTTTAAAGCCACAGGGAGCCACTGGAGACGGGCTAAAGGGTCGCACGAGGCTCCGGAGCCACAGATATAGTATAATATCTGTGTGGAGTCAGTGCCTCTGTGTCCTGCATGAACAAAACACCAACACAACCAACAGTAGAAAGGTTAGGACCTGAAAAATATTTCTAATGAAGATGACGACTGTTGTAAAGCACTCTTTTGTGAAACATATCCTTCATAAATTTCTCCAGTTCTTGGAATAACTGACCAACTGTAACCACACTTAGTAACAGCACTTAAACCCTGTCATGAGTGATGCCATACATGGAGCCAAAAACGCCCTGCTGGATTTTGTTTTACAGCAAGAGCATTTAGGTCATCCATCTCAACTTCCTAAAACCTGTTTTGCAGTCGTAGTGAAACGCTCCAGTGACGACCTTATTTTGAGCTCTTCCTCTCTTGTTTATGTCCTCCTGAGACCCAGGGAAAAAATACATTGCAATTCATTCATTCATTTATTCATTCCTTCCTTCTGTCCCTCCTCCCTCCCTCCTTCTTTCTTTCCTTCCTTCCATCCTTCCCCCCTTCTTGCTTCTTTCCTCCCTCCTTTCTTCCATCATTCCTTCCCTCCTTGCTCCTTTCCTACCTCCTTCCTTCCTCCCTCATTCTTTCCCTCATTCCTTTCTCCCTCCCTCCCTCCTTCCTTCCTTCTCTCCTTCCATCCTCCCTCCCTCCTTCCTTCCCTCTGTCCCTCCTCCCACCCTCCTTCCTTCCATCCCTCCTTTCCCTTCTTGCTTCTTTCCTCCCTCATTCCTTTCTCCCGCCCTCCTTCCTTCCTTCTCTCCTTCAATCCTCCTTCCTTCCCTCTGTCCCTCCTCCAACCCTCCTTCCTTCCTCCCCTCCTTGCTTCTTTCTGTCCTTCCTTCCCTCATTCCTTCTTTCCATCCAAACCTTCTTTCCCTCCTTCCTTCCATCCTCCCTCCCTCCTTCCCTCTGTCCCTCCTCCCACCCTCCTTTCCCTTCTTGCTTCTTTCCTCCCTCATTCATTTCTCCCACCCTCCTTCCTTCCTTCTCTCCTTCAATCCTCCTTCCCTCCTTCCTTCCCTCTGTCCCTCCTCAACCCTCCTTCCTTCCATCCCTCCTTCTTTCCCTTCTTGCTTCTTTCCTCCTCCCTTCCTTGCTTCTTTCCATCCTTTCTTCTTTCCCTCATTCCTTCCTCCCTCCCTCCCTCCTTCCATCCTTCCTTGGCCACTTAGGAAAAACTGGCCTTCACAGAGTGAGAGATAATGTCCTCGAGAGTGGACAAAAATGAAATGAAAAATCAGTTTAAGTGCTGTTTTTAATCAGCCAGTTTCTCTGCTGCAAGTATCAACTTCATTTTTACTCCCATGATCAGTTTCTGAGCATCACCCTCTCATTTAGGTTGTGACTGTCGGTCACTCTGTATGGACTACGTAGGATTTAAGACTGAATAATAATTGATAAACTGTATCCACACTGCGGCTGATTTTGAAGGTACCCACAACAAAAGTCAAAGACAAACTGAAAGACAACAAAAAAAGGTTTTATTTAGAAATTCACAGTTTCTAATGGCACTACAAGTTTGTAGTAACTCACTCCTGCTCAAAAATACTGTGCAGCTCTTCAGAGTGATCACAGAGAGAAAGAGAGGGATAGAGGAAGAAAAGATAGCACTTGACATATAAGGTAGAAAAACAAAAAAAAGGCGTGAGGAGTCAAACAAAGTGCACACTGAGCTAGAATTTCTCTCCGAGGGCATTCTGCCTAGTCGCTGTGTTACGGGATAAGTAGATTCAAAGTAGTCTTTCTCATAACACAGACACACACACACGCACGAGATCAACAACAAATAAATTCTCTCATGCATTCATGTTTACACGCACACGAACATAAGACCATAACACATTCAAAAAGGGTTAAAAAATATCACTCAGGATTTGCTCGGCTTGTGGAACATACAGAATCACATTAATAGTGTTCCAAGTTTACCCATCTTTGCTGCGTTCCCTTTATTCAACAATTCACATCCTCCTCAAAAACCACGAGTATCATTCAAGGTGGGGTGAACACATGAAGTCAAAGAGCAATGACAAGTGAATAAAAGACGAGAGTGTACGACAAATGAGAGTGAGGATGCACAAAGGGATCAGCTAGACCAGGAAAGCAGGCGTGTAGGCTGACAAAGCATTTCCAGCTCCTAATGGGAACATGTTAGAGTGGTTAATAAAAGCA